TTTAAAATGGTAAATTTGATGGAATGTGAATTGTATCAAAAAATTAAAATGTTTTTTTAAAAATTCTAATATTGGAAACAGTTTGATTCTTTTGGGGTTTGCTTTTAAAGTATGAAGGTAGTAGGTAGCGCAGCATTTTGATCTAAGACTAATTTTTTCCCACTATTAAGGCAAAAGCCTTCTGAGTACTTCACCCAATATTCTGTGAATTATGAAGTATTCTATTCTGATGGGAACAGGAACTATGTCTGGCTTTACGAGTCTCATGACTGTCTACATTAATGCTTTCAGGTAGATCTTTCCACAGTCTGAGGTAGCTTCCTCACTTATGGGCTTTCAGTACCTACTGAAGACTCAAGAGACTCTGATTATCTCTGGAATTCTGTCCCTGTTCAGCTCTCTCTCTGGTTCTCTGCCTTGTGTACTCTATATAGACAACTTGGTTTCCATGATCTCCCAACTCTACCTCTTCAACTCACGGAGACCTCTGTGTTCCAGCAATTGTGCTTTGAAAAGTTTCTCTAGAGGTAGGCTGGGACAATTGTAGAGCTCATCTTTGTTCACCATCTCTCAGGGATCACTGTCCTTTGTTCCTTGAGGTCTAATTTCTTGAAAACTATGTTTTATTTTGTTCCTTTTTTCAGTTGTTTCGGGTAGCAGAGTAAATCCAGACCCAGTTATTCTACTACAGATGGAAGCAGAAGTCCCTATCAACTTTATTAATCTTTACAAACAATCAACTTCTCATTTGTTGACTTTTGCTATTGAATATGTGCTTTCTATTTCATGGACTTCTCTCATTTTTATTACCTTCTTCCTCCTCCATCTTTAAATTTGTTTTGCCCTCTTTTTCCTAGATGCTTAAATCATTAATATCCAACCTTTGTTCTAGTCTAGTACATGTAATTAAGGCTATTAGTTTAACTGCATTACACAGGCTTTGATATGCTACATTTAAGTTTTTCATCAGTTCAAAGTACTGTCTAATTTCTATCATGTTTCTTCTTTGCTCTACGTGTTATTTAGATCTATACTGCTTAAAACTTGCAAATTTTGAGGGAATTTTCTGATTATCTTTTATTATTATTTATACCTTAGCTCCACTGCATTGGAAAATATACTCTGTATGATGTCAGTCTTCTGAAATTTGTTAAGACCTCCTTTATGATCTAGCATAGATCACTATCACATGATTAATTTGATAAGTATTCCACGTGAACTTAAAAATATATATTCTCCAACTGTTGGGTGTATTCTATATATGTCAATTGTGTCAAATTTCCTAATTTTCTAGTTCAGATCTTCTCTAATGGAATTTTTTTTGTTTGTTGTATTGATTTGGTCTGCTTGTTCTATGAGTTAGAGTGAGACAGGTCAAAAATCTAGCACCACAATCGAGGATTTATCCATTTCTTTTTTTAGTTCTGTCAGCTTTTGAGGCTATGTTATTAGGCATATACAAATTTAGTCTGTTTCTTATCAAAATGCTCTTTTTACATAATAAAATATCTGTGATAATCTTTGTTTTTAAGTTGAATATTCAGTAAGTATATTTACATTCAATGTAATTCCTAATGTAATTACTTTAAATACTATTTTCTTTCCTTTGCTCCCATCTTTTCTTAGTTCCTTTCTATTTCCCTTTTGCCTACTTTTGATAAACCAAGGATTTATTATTTTTCCATACTACTTACACAGTCTTTTAGTAATAGAGAGCAATGGTTCATAGGTGTAGAACTTTGATCAATAACATGAGTAGCATCTGAGAACCTCTTAGAAATATATATTTTCAGAACCCAATCCAGACCTATTAAAGCATAAATTCTGAGAGTGGAGCCCAGCCATCTGGGTTTCAACAAGTCCTGCAGGCAACAATGTACACTGAAGTATTAAGAATCACTGCACTAGATATTTCAACATGTCCATCCTTAATGTAGTATTTTTACCACTTTCCATAGAGTGCAAAGAAGTGAACTTCATTTATTTTCTTCAGCCTTGCACTAATGCTGTCATGTATTTTACTTCCACATGTATTTTAGACTGTAAGGCATTGTATTATATAATGACACTGTTATTATTGCTTTAAAAACTCAATATACATTTAGATGTACTTACATACATACTCTTCTGGAGTTCTCCATTTTTTCCTATATGGGACAATTTTCCTTCTATCTGAAAACTAATTCCTTTTCATTTTGTAATGCTGGTATGCTAGTAACACATTCTCTCAGATTTTGTTTTGATAAAAATATATTTTCTTAATCTTTGTTTTCCATAGAAATTTTCTTTATCTATAGATTGGCAGGTACTTCCTTTCAGCATTATAAAAATTCCATTCTGATGTCTGGCTTTCATTATTGCTGTTCCTTTGAAGTTGCCTGGTTTTTCCCTCTGATTTTAAGTTTTTTCTTTGTCTTTGTTTTTCAGCAGTTTGATTTTTAATTTCTCTGATGTCATTTTCATTTTATTAATGGTTCTTGGGGTTCTCAGAACTTCTTAAATCTGTGTTATGTTATCTTTCATAAATTTTAGAAAATTAAAACACTGCTTCTTCTCTATTCCCTTTTTCCTCTCCTCTGGCACACTAATAAAAACTTTGTTAGACCTTTCCTATGTGTCCCAATTATCTCTTAAGCTTTTCTGTACTTTCCATTCTTTTTTCCTTCTGTGCTTCAATCTGCTTATTTTCTATTAACCTATCTTCTAGTTCATTAAATCTCTCTGCTGATATGTCTAATTTGCTATTAAACTCATCTACTGAATTCTTAATTTGTTATTATATTTTTTAGTTGTAGTTTCCTCTTAATTCTTTCATATAGATTCCAATTCTCTTGTAAATTATCTATAACTCATCTATTTTCTTGCACATACCAGTCATAGTTATTTTACAATCAATATTCTGCTTATAGTCTCCTCCTCCCTTAATATTTAATTATTTTGTACTATTTCTTGGCATGCCTGGAAACTGCTGACTGAATGCTACACCTTAGTCCTGAAAATTACAGAAGCTCTGGGTGACGTTATCTTTCTCCAAAGAGAATTTAGTTTTCTTCTGGCAAGAATAATATTAGAATACCACACTCTAATAACAGTTGAGGCTGATCTACTTTGGTTTGCTACTACTCACAGAACAAAATCCTTCTCAGATATCAACTTGAAAGCCATGGGTCTGTCCTCCTTTGAAGACCATGAACTATAATATTTGTCTCCCCCATTCTGTAAGACTGCTGAATTCTGGTTAGTGAAAAATCTACTTTGTTTATACCTCAGGCCCAGCATACACAATTAGGTGTTAGCAAATGCCTTACGTGGATATTCCTTACAAAAAGCTGAACTCACTTCTGAAATTCCTCAGGATCTTGGCTCTTCAAGTCCTGGCTATTTAGTAGTCCCAAACTCGAGGTTTTGTCTCCCTAGTTCACTGACTATTCTACACTACTGTTCTCTATTTAGCCCCTATGCCATGCACTGGCAATTGGGAGATGTTTCAAAGTAAAATATACAGAGCTTATCTCAATGTGTTTCCTGTTCTTCTGGGATCTTGGCCCCTGAAGGTCTGGTTGTCTTAGTCTTCAATGCCTGCCCCCACCCCCCGCCTTCGTTTTTACTGGAGGTGAGGTGTCCAGCATTTTATACAAATAGGCAGAAGGGTTAGTCTAATACTAGCTATTCCATCATATCTGGATGCATAAATCCATAACTCCAGCTCCTCTGATATATACATTATTTGGTCATAAAGTCCCAGCATTACTATTTCCTAATAACCACCACTGTCCATGTTTAGGCCCCCAGCATCTCTTAGACTACTGCAAAGAGTAGTATTAGATATTTCGGACTCTAAATCTTCTACTTCACCAGAAATTATCATCTAGTTGGGCACCATTAGAAATAACTTTTAAAAGTACAGATTTCTGGGCCCTATTAACAGGACAGAGTAACTGATTTCGGTAGGACTGCAATGGAATCCTAGGAAAACCAGCACCACACCACCACACTCTCTCCCTAAGTGACTATGATTAATCATTCCACAGCTTGCTATGTGGGAAAAATCATTACTCTAAACCTCAGCTGCCAGCTTCCTTTCTAAACTGGAAATCTGATTATGTCACTCTGAATAAAATCTATCTTATGTTATCCATTACCTTTCTACAAGTAAAAGGATCCTATAAGTACTATATTGGTGCAATGGTGTATGTGTATTTGTTAGTATTTGTGTGTGTGCATGAAAAGTGAGAGAGTGAAAGCCCAAGAGAAGGAAAGAGGAAAAAAGGGTGAAAACTAGAGGGAGAAAATGGGAACAAGACTGAATGTGAATATGAGATATATTTGGCTTTGAAGTTCTCACAGTATAGTATGGGAGGAAACAGAGGCACAAAACTGAATTCATGAACCTCCCAGAGCCTTTTTAGGGTTTTAAATATGAAAGATTAAGAAATTACCTTGTAAGGAAGAGACATCTGTATCACACTAGGTATCTAACGACTTGTCACAAAGGTTTCACTCAAGCATCAAAAAAAATCCAGCAGACTATCATATACTGTTTCTGGGTATGTTCCTAGACTTGAATATCATGAAAATAGGTAGACCACCATTCCAATCAACTCCATGATGCTAACCAAATTATTTATTTTACTGGTCTGTTGACTCCCGGAAACTGATAAGCCTTTTTCAACCACATATTTGGAGGGGTAATCAACAGCTTTAATACAAATAGATTCAATAAAATGTTAGCTAAGCTCAGAAATTCTATCAATGGGAATGACAGAGTCAAGAATTTAAATTAGTACAGAGCTTATAAATAAAGATATTCCAATTTCTCCCGAGAAATATTTTCTTCTAATTTGTGCATACCTCAAATCAGCTTTCAAGCTGCCATGTATAAAGTAGTCAAATTTACATCATCTTTAAACTTAATCATATAGAACTCTATTGTTATTATAAAGGCAAATTAAATGTATTACTCAATGACATTTCAAAAATGTTTAAAAAAATGAAATTACTTTGTTAGTCACAGTGTTGATTGCCAGAGTTGGAGAGGCACTTCCCGATATAATACACTCCATTCCCAAAGAATCTGAATCTATGCTATATGGAGTTGAGGCCTAAAATACAAGAACAAAATAAATAATTATTAGCTTATATATCCAGCAACTTTAATGCAGTTTGAAGGGATTTCATCAAATTCTCCAACATCCAGTTTTGTGCTCTGTTTCTGAAAATGAACTTAAATTGTTATTGAAATCTCTTCTACTGCGTTTTAGTACACTACTGAACTGATATCACAAAGTCCACTGGTATGACTACTCCCCAGCAACTCTTTTAATTGACTGCACTTGACAAAAGTTATAGATAAATTTCCGAAGTGGAAACTGTTTATGGTCCCCTAATACCCATTTTTCTTTTCTCCCTTTTAATAACAGAACTCTACAGTTATCTATTCAGTGGCTGCCTAACTACAGGCTACCTTTTCAGATTCAATTGCAGCTAGATGTGTCCATGTGACTAAGGTATGGCCAATGGGATATGAGGAGGAGTAATATATGAAACTTCAGGTTCATGTCTTTGAAAGATCTTGTTTGCTCACGGCTTTATCTTTCCCTCTTACTGCAGGCTGGAAGGCTGATATGGTGGTGGTGGGTGATCTTGCTTAACCATAAGATAAGGATAATACCCTGGGAAAACACCGGACAAACAGGATTAGAAGGAACCTGGGCATCTGAATGACCCTGTAAACATAGTTATTTATCCTTCTAATCCACCTATCAGCTTGGATATTTACCTGAGAGAGAAATAAATCTCTTTAGTTTAACCCAGTTATAGATTTTTTAATTGACATTTTTTTTTACTGATACATATTAGGTGTACATATTTTAGGGGTACATGTGATAATTACACATATTCATATAATTAAATCAGGGTAACTGGGAGACCCCCCACCTTAAATATTTATCTCTTCTTTATGTTAAAAACATTAAAATTATTTTCTTCTAGTTATTCTGAAATGTATAATTAGTGTTAACTACCACTTCCCTACTGATCTATCAAACACCAGGTCTTATTTTTTTCTAAGTGCATATCTGTACCCACTAACCAACCTCTCTTCATTCCGCCCCCCCCCCTTCCTAGCCTCTGGTAACCACCAATTTACTCTCTATCTTCATGAGATCTACTTTTTTAGTTCTCATATATGAGTGAGAACATGTGGTACCTGTCTTTCTGTGCTTGTAAGTCAGTTATAGTTTTATTTTTCTTCCTATATTAGAACTGAACAATATCCTAAATACAACTTCATATGCATTGTTTAAAGAGTTAACATGGTTGTCAAAGACAATATATAAGGTTTTCTGCATTGAGAATTCTGAATATATACATTGTGAGAACTCACCTCTCTATCTCAAGAGATGGTTTTTATTGCTTTGGTGAGCCCTCAAAAGTTCAACTTCAATGATGAAAGTTAAAGAAGGGGCAACATAAATAATTTGTGGCTATGATGCTAGTTCCATATATATTTGTTCTCTAGCAAAAACATATTTGTCCCATATATGATCTTAACTGAACATGCAATTTCAAAAGATCCTACTAGATGGGCAAAAGAGCAATTTCCCTGAGACACATTTCTGAGATTAATCTATCTTAATTGCTCAGCATTTCTGTCATCAGATGACCTGATCAACCTAGGGTTAGAGAACAGGAATCTTGATTGAAATTAAAAAAAGGAAAACACCAGAGCTACCACTTCAACCTAGAATCTAGCACTTAGGTGCTGGGTACATATTGACAATGAGGTGAAAATGGAAAAGGGTTTCAGAAATAGAAGTGGAAGAGCTACAAAAACAACTCTGTCTATGACTCAATTTTGGTGCCAGCCAACTTAGCTACATCTAAATTAACACACAGGATTACTTTAAGAAAGCTGCAAATCTCATGTTTCCCTAACTCAACTCAGTCATTTCAGTTATGACTACCGGTTCACTAATTCTCTATTTTTTTTTTTTTACCCCCCACCCCAAGACAGTCTCTGTTGATTGGATAGAGTGCCGTGGCATCAGCCTAGCTTATAGCAACTCAAACTTCTGGGCTCAAGCGATTCTTTTGCCTCAGCCTCCTAAGTAGCTGGGACTATAGGTGAGTGCCAGGAAGCCAAGCTAATTTTTCTATTTTTAGTATACAGGGTCTCACTCTTGCTCAGGATAGTCTCAAACTCCTAAGCTCGAGTAATCCTCCCATTTCAGCCTCCTAGAGTGCTAGGATTACAAGCCACCCTGCCTGGCCTCTAATACTTACTCTTACCCACTGGTAGAAGAGGGGAAGCCTGTGTTGTGTGATTTCGTGGAACTTACTCAACCTATATGCTTATTTTCTCATCCATAAAAAGAGGATTATTCTACTTCCTCTAGAGGTTTAAGGACACCAATGAAATGATTTATATAAAGCACTTAGTATGGTAACTGAAACACACAATAAATGCTTGCTACTATGATAACCACTAGAACATACCCTGCTACTGATGCCAAAGATCTTCTGATACAAAGAAATATTCATCCTCAACAAAATACTTGCAAAGCCATATTCAACAGTTACATTAAAAGGATCATTCACCATGATCAAGTGGGATTTATCACTGGGATGCAAGCTTGGCTCAATATACACATATCAATAAATGGAATTCACCATATTAACAGAATGAAAGACAAAAAACACACGATCACCTCAGTAGATGTAGAAAAAGCATTTAATAAATTCAACATCCTTTCATGATAAAAGCTCTCAATAAGTTAGGTATAGAAGGAATATTCCTCAACACAATTAAGGACACATATGACAAGCCCACAGCTAATATCATACTCAGTGGTGAAAAGCTGAAAGCTTTTCATCTAAGATCAGGAACAAGAGAAGAATGCTTACTCTCACCACTTCTATTCAACACAATACTAGAAGGCCTAGCTAAAGTTATCAGGCAATAGCAGAAATTGTTCCTTGACTAGTGATTGGGTTATGTCCCAATAAACCCATCATAAATTAAAAATACTGTAAGACGAAAACACGTATCATGCACCTAACCTACCAAACATCATAGCTTAGCTTAGCCTAGCCTACTTTATATGTGCTCAGAACACTTAGCCTACGCTTGGGCTAAATCATCTAACACAAAGCTTATTTTATAACAAAGTGTTGAATATTTCATGTAATTTATACTATGTAATATTTCATGTAATGTAATATCTCATGTAATGTATACTATGTAATACTATACTGAAAGTGAAAAACAGAATGGTTGTACAGGTATTTGAAGTATAGTTTCTACTAAATGCATATTCCTTCTGCAACACCGTACAGTCAAAAATTCATAAGGAGAAGTAAAAAATTCATAAAGTCAAAAATTCATAAGGAGAACCACTGTAAGTTCAGGATTGTCTGTAAAAGGTATCTAAACAGGAAAAGATGAAGTGAAATTGCCTGTTTGTCGATGACATGATCTTATACATAGAAAATCTTAAAGATTCCATCAAAAGCTGTCAGAGCTGATAAACAAATTCAGTAAAGTTGCAGGATAAAATATCAACTTATAAGAATCAGTAGCATTTCTATACATCGACAATGAACTATTTAAAAAAATTAAGAAAACAATCCCGCTTATAATAGCATCAAAAAAGTACTTAGGAATAAATTTAACCAAAAATGTGAAATATCTGTATATTAAAAACCATAAAACATTGCTGAAAGAAACTGATAACACAAATAAATGGAAAGATATCTCATGTTCATGGATTGAAACAATAAATACTGCCAAAATATCCATACTACCCAAAGTGATCTATAGATTGAATGCCATCCCTTTCAAAACTCCAATGTCAGGCCGGGCGCGGTGGCTCACGCCTGTAATCCTAGCTCTTGGGAGGCCGAGGCGGGCGGATTGCTCAAGGTCAGGAGTTCAAAACCAGCCTGAGCAAGAGCGAGACCCCGTCTCTACTATAAATAGAAAGAAATTAATTGGCCAACTGATATATATATATAAAAAAATTAGCCGGGCATGGTGGCGCATGCCTGTAGTCCCAGCTACTCGGGAGGCTGAGGCAGAAGGATCGCTCGAGCCCAGGAGTTTGAGGTTGCTGTGAGCTAGGCTGACGCCACGGCACTCACTCTAGCCTGGACAACAAACCGAGACTCTGTCTCAAAAAAAAAAAAAAAAAAAAACTCCAATGTCATCCTTCATAAAAATACAAAAAAAATTCTAAAATTCACATAGAACCACAAAAGACTTTGAATAGCCAACACAACCTTGACCAAAAAGAACAAAGCTGGAGGCATCACTCCACAAGATTTCAAATATATGAAAATGCTATAGTAATCAAAACAGCATAGTACTGGTATAAAAACAGACACATCAACCAATAAAATAATATAGAGAGCCCAGAAATAAATTCACATATTTTAGGTCAATTAATTTTCAGCAAAGGTGCCAAGAATACACAATGGAAAAAAGTCTCTACAGTAAGCGGTGCTGGGAAAACTGGATAGCCACATACGGAAGAATGAAAATGGACCTTTATCTCACCCTATATATAAGAAGCAACTCAAAATGGATTAAAGACTTACACATAAGAATTGAAAGTATAAAACTACTAAAAGAAAACATGGGGGAAAACTCCTTGACATTGGTTTGGGCAGTGATTTCTTATATGTGACCCCAAAACTAATCGCAATGAGAGCAAAAATAGATAAATGAGACTACATCAAACGAAAAAGCTTCTGCACAGCAAAAGAAACAATAAAATGAAGAGATAATCCATAGACTGGGAGAAAATATATGCATATCATCCATCCGATAAGGTGATGGCATCCAAAATATACTAGGAACTCAAACTACTCAGTAACAAGAAAACAAGTAACCATATTTAAGAAGGGAGCTGGGCACAGCAGCTCACACCTGTAATCCCAGCACTTTAGGAGACTGAGACAGGAGGATTACTTGAACTCAGGAGTTTGAGATCAGCCTGGGGAACACAGCAAGCCTTTATCTCTACAAAAAATAAGGAAAAAATTAGGTACGGTGGCAAGTGCCTGTAATCCCAGTTACTTGAGAGGCTGAGACAGTAGGGTC